TTTCAATGTTTCTTTTTTACATTTTTTGTTGCATTTCTTTCCTTGATAACTTCTTCAATTTCATATTCGGATCATTTGGGAGTAATGATTGTTTATGAGATGAAATTAATCATGATTGAAATTGATGATGACATGAATTTCATAGAAATCAACCGCTGTTATGTATACGCCTATATATATATATTATAATAGTGAATAGTATAATATATTTTAATATTATTAGATAGTATAGTTAATAGATATCTTCCTTTTCGGGAAATATATTTCTATTACAAAACATGTTTGCATTCTCAAAACAAATTTATTTCATAAATGTACTAATCATTTTTATTTTGAAGGAAAGAAAATTGTACCTTTATAACCAAACTTGAATTCTTTTCTTTTAACTCAGTGAACTTCGTTTACTAACCGGTAAGATTGGAAGGTTGATATCAATGGACCGTAGCGTTCCACAATGCATCGTAATTTCTTTACATTCTTGATAGTGTTGTAATGGCTCTCGATCTCTGCACCCATCGTTCCAGTGCCAGTCGACTCTGCTCTTCGGCGTCGGGTCCGAACGTGTTACGTTGCGCTCCTCTCACCAACACTTTCCATTCTCCCCTCGGATACCATGGAACGCTGCACCAGCAGTCATCACATAATCCCTTGACGAACTCAAACTTCGATTATGATAAATAAAAGATATTTATCAATAACTTGTTTATTAAGCTTATGATCGTTTCGATCGCATAGCGATCATCCTCAGAGCTTGAAGCTTCCGGGCCGAAAACAAAGTTCTGAAGTTCATCTACTAATTAATCAGAACGTCGATTTTGGCGCAATAATGTGCGTGTGACAAAAATGTATCGAGTGGAAAAAAACGTATCCTGCGTATGAATCAGTCGAGCTGTGTGCTTCTGCTTAATTTTGATAATTATGTTTGTTAATTTTTTTTCTCAAAATAGAACTACTAGCTCAGGTAGCTCAGGGCATCAACTGATGTCACTGAAGTGCCTCTGGGTCCCAAGGGTTCGAATACCCAAGCGTGGGACGATTTTCGACTCTAGCTTGATAGCTAGGTAAAAATCAGGCTCTGTCTGGAGGAGAAAGCGGATACTCTGATCGCTAGTTTTCCGTGATTTCTGCGACCAGAACAAGGCGAATACCGGAGTACTTCTTTAATGAACGGGCCACGGAAAGCGCGCCATGTGTCCTTCCCTTCCCAGTCCTATCCTTACATCTTATTTACCCCTACACTCACATGCACTACCGCACACATCGGGAGACCAGTTGGGAGCTTAGAGCTTGTCCCGATTGCGGCGGTGCCCTGATAGTGGAAGATACCTGGTTGTGGAAAACCCCGCTAGCCAACATGCAGGTCGGCGGCAGATCTCAACATCCCGCCCCGAGCAAGATCACCGCCTCCTCCCGAGGGAAACAAAACAAAACATGCTCTACACTTACGGGACTAACGATTTTAGCAGTTGACGTGCCCGAAAACACGAAATAATCAGTGGAGCCAAATAGTGAGGTTGAGCAACCATCAGCTTTGCCTTAAAGATATCGAAGGAAAACAGTCTAATAGCCGATCCGGTGGTCGAGATTCTTAAGGTAGTAGTGCCGTAGCGATCTCGGACCGAAGGATCGCGGATTCGAGTCCCGCCTCGGGCATGGTTTTCCGTCCTTTCACCTCCTATCATCACCATATCATGACATATTTTCAGTACCATAATGTTTAATCCAGTACTGGTCGCTAACGGCCTAGATGTTGATGCAACCTTAAATAAAATAAAATTTAAAAAAAAACAACAAATTAACCATCTGCGAGATTAGTGGTATGAACGTCCAATTACGTAATGGCACTTCCCTTGAGCGAGCGTCGGTGGTGTGTGTGTGTGTGGCCGGCAGAGCTGGAGCACCTGGCGGAGCTGCGGCTGAGCAAGGCGCTGAAGCAGGCCGAGGAGGAGGAGACGGCGCGCGAGGAGGCTCATCTGCCGCTGCCGCCGGAGCTGCGCGCGGGCGCCTCCCGCTCGCCCTCCCGCGCCGCCGCCCCCCGCAGCGACTCGCCCTTCGCCGACTCCCTCGCCACCGCCTTCGACGTCTCCTCCCTCGGCGCTGCGGACCACACCACCGACTCCAAGTGAACGACGGAAGCCATTTACTTGCGAAGGGCGTCCGGCGACAATTTGCTGTTTTTAACATTTTTATCTTGTTTTTATAAATTTATTTTAAATATTTTTTATATCGAGTGGTAATTTTTTTCATTTGTTTATGATCTTATTTGGTCACGTAATTTTTTTATTGAAAATAAAAATATTTTTTTAAAAATTTGGAATGGCAAGTAATTTAACTTAGGTGTTAATAGATTACCTTGCGCGGTGGTTCAGTGGAAGGGGGTTGGCGTCCTGACCTGAATCCCGAATCTCTCAACAAGGTTCAAATCCCGACGTAGATTGGGATTCTTGTCCAGTGATTTCCATTCAGGGTTCGATTCAGCCTCCTATCCAAGTGCGTACCAGGATCTTTTCTGGGAGTGAAGATGGACGGAAAGTTGTGATTGCCACTCAATTTCCTCCTTGTGCCGACGGCGACGAATAGAGGGAGCTCTACCTTCACCTCCCCTTTGGGCCATGTTGATCTGTGTGGAATTGAACAGGGTACCTTTTTTTACCAAGGGCGTGCGCAGTCTAAAACAACAAGGGGGAGGGGGCAATACCATTTCCGGGACCCCTTTTTCATTGAATATTTTTATATTTAAATATAACATATTACTAGAAGTATATAAAAATATACTACAAATAGAATTAAATTATTACAAATTTAGTGATTTCTATTAATAAATCCAAACTGTTTTATGTTGAACAATTTGTAAGGTTGTCAGACCTGGAGAACCTCTTCTACAAAAGTCGTACAAATTGCATAATTTATTAGGTTTCGCAAATCAATTTAAATTATTGAACAAAAATATTGTTATTACGAATTCTATGTTTATTATAATTTTTAAAATTTTCTTTACATAAAATAATAGTTGTCGCTAATGACCTCAACAGTTCCTAATGCGAACTTAATGAAATATAAAAAAACATAATTGTCAGCTTAAAAAGGGAAAATAAGTTGTTGAAAATATTTGCGGGCATAAAATGTATAACGTACACGGCTATGGGGTTCCTTTGAGAAAGATAGGGGGCCACGACCGCCCTCCCCTTCTGCGCAGGCCTATGTGTATTACGTATGTAATGTTAAAATGTAATATCACATGCAACATCAAACTTCTTCAGTTTCATTATAATATTGAATAATATTAATATTCTAATGAACGGTAAATCTTGCTAAACGAATAAACTAAGTTCAAAATTGCAACTTAATATTCAAATATTCTCAAAGTCTAATATTCCCAATCACGTTCAAAACACGGAAACTTCCAGGATTCTGATAATTAGCATAAATTGAAGCGTAATGTAGTAAAATTCACCTCTCTTTACCTCAAATTGGTATGTGTTATGATTTGTCACTCAGCAAGAGAATTTGAGTCTCTTTATTAATTTTTTCAGAACATAGCAAAGACATTCGAGACAAGATATGCAAGAACTCATCAACATTGTCTTCTTGAGTTCATTAATGAATACTGCGCATCAAGGAGGCATTACTGAGTACGGACAACACTAAAGAACAAATACATTTGCTGATTGATAGCTTTTAAACACCTATATTGGCGAAAGTGATATTAATAGCAATATAAGTAGCCTTTTATGTGTAACATAGTACAGGTGCTACATAAAAGAATGTGTACTAAGAAGGTAATACAAACTTTCCCCTCTTTTCACTGCTTTCAAATCTTTCTTGTGAATTGTATATGTAAAATGGAGTTGATTATTTCATAGGTTTGTTGTTAACTATGAAGTTATTCATAGATAGATGAATTGTTTGGAAAACGTGCCTCCTTCAAGCTCAGGCGTGTCATCTAAACGGTGTATCAAAATACGCCCTTGAACACGAAACACGATTTGGAACACGAAATTTTACTGACAGACCCGCGACACTGCAGAGCCATACGGGTTGCATACTTGTTTGAGGGCTAACAATTGAAAACTGCAGAAAATAAGGAAGGATACGAAAATCTCTTTTCTTAATAAAATCTTAATCAAATATTATTGAAAAATTGACAAATAAAAATAAAATCCTTTCAGTTTATGTTGAACATTACTCATATTGGACTGTGTTATCTTCTTCCATTTGCCATTTTCTAGTTCCTATTATTTGACCTATGCCATTGCAAATATTTTCAATGTTCTCAATGTATTTGCAATTCTATGTCTTTGAAAGAATGGTAATCACTGATAATTTCATTGTTTGTAATCAATTGTTGATTCAGATGCAATAAGTACGTGATGCTTGAATAATTGCGTTACGTATATCCTATCTACAAATCGATCTCTTTCAATTGCCCTTGAGCTTCTGCAGCTGAGTGACGCATTCAGTAAAGATGCAGGAAACAAAATATATTTTATTTCCTAGATTTTATAAACATTGACTAACGCCTACTTACAGAATCACTAAAAAGTACTTGTTTTGACTTGATAGAGAATTTAGTGCTCTTAAGCAACGAGAAATCCCTTTAATTGTTTCACACCTCTTGCTTTGTCTTTGCCCCCCTCTCCGACACACTATTTCGCGCGCGCATTTTGAATTACAAATATTTTTTTCGTCAACTTTAAATGTTACATCGACATCATAACGCCATTATATGAATGAAATAATGTTCTAAGTATGTTTTATTATTTTACGTACAAACACCTTGTTAATTTCCTACTTAATTACTTTCACTAACTACTCCCTAATCTTTTTTGTAAGGTTGCATTCGATTGTACACTTACTTCGCTTGGAAAGTTTTGAGCTAATTTATCTGGAGAGACGCTTCCCACTACTTGCACTTCGAAATATAGCGTTCGTGTTTATTTCGAAAACGTATGTATAACTATTACTAATGTATGAGAAGTTAAGAATACTTTGACAAATTTCGTTACAGCTTCCTACAAGAAAGCACCCCTGCGATCTTGGGTGTGAGCGAAGTCAGGTGTAAAGCAAGTTGGGATTTTGCATCAATGAACTGTGACCACAGTAATTGCTCGAGCAATATTTTGAAACGAAGTATTAACACTTATTTCCAATTATTGACTCTATGTGTTCAATAATTTGTGTCTGATGTGCATTATAACTGATTATGGAACTTCTGAATGAACAAAAATGTACTGGCTCAGAAAACAGTACAAATTCAAATCTATCACAATTTTACTTGATAATGAACTTTCATTCTTAAGACCTCCTGGCCTTGGCGTCCTGCCACTCGTTCCGCGCGAACCCGTGTGGCCAGTAGAGTGCAAAGTCCAAAGTGTGCGGTATTACAGTGATATTTGTGGCGCGGAGCCTCGCTACACCAGTCGCTGTGGGATTCTCGGACGCGTGGTTGGTGCTACGCTACGCAGTCCGTCCGCGTCTTCGGCGCCTCAGCGTCCACTCGACCGTCCACCGCATTTTTCATACTCCTGGCCCAGTAGTTTGTATACAGTCATGCCGACCGAAAGAAAAGTTTGTGTTGTGGGCTCTGGGAATTGGTAAGTGAGGGGGGAAAATTGATTGGAACACTCGTAAAACTTTTTTTTAGGTTATGTTATGCTTGAGAGAACCGTTCAAGCACGGGGCAAATAAAACATATATGAAGGTTGTCAGCAGTTATGTAATAATTTGAGATGAGATGTGACATGAAAATATAGTTTTGTTTTAGATTTACTCATATATTTTCCCCAATTGTTAAATGACAGCAAGATGTAATTTCAGAAACAAAATTTCTATTTCTTATATTATTAATTGTGCCAAAATAATTAAAATGCGTTATTTGTATTTTTAATTCCGTGAATTAACTTCTATTTCATAGGGGATCTGCAATTGCAAGGATTGTAGGTTTTAATGCAAAGCGACATCCCACTTTGCATGAAACAGTAACTATGTATGTTTATGAAGAAATTATAGATGGAAAGAAGTTGACAGAAATTATTAATGAAACTCACGAAAATGTCAAATATTTGCCTGGATACAAGATCCCTTCCAATGTAGTAAGTATGTTGGAATTATCAGATTTTAATGAATTTTTAAAATCAATTGGTTTGAATCGCCCAGTACAGTAAGAATTATACCTATCGATTCAAAATTTATTTTGTATTCTCATATCTTTAATGTAACTTTGGTTACATTTAGTCTAAATTTCTTGTCTGTTTTGCCTTTTCAGTACTTCCTTCATATTAAACTTTAAATTTTACTTTTCTGTTTGAATTTGAAAAAGATGCGCAGTTTTAATTTGGTTTTGCATTAAATAAATTTAATAAAAATTCCAAATAATTTGTGATGGTGCAAACCATTAATGATAAATGTTTTCAACCATAAAAACAATTAATGGTTTATTCATTAAAGTTTGAATCAATTGTGATATTGTCATGATGACAGACTCAACTCAAACTTGAAACTTAAGATATCTGCTTTTTAACTTAAAAAAATATGTTTTCAGAATAGATGTTTTAGTATTGTGGCAAATGTTTATAAGAGTTGTAAATATTTATTTCTCATTTTTCTCTGATCTCGGTAATTTATGTTTCAGATTGCTGTTCCTGATCTTGTTGAAGCTGCAAAGGATGCAGATATCCTAATCTTTGTAGTGCCACACCAGTTCATTCAAAGAATATGTTCAACATTACTTGGAAAGATCAAACCAACAGCATGCGGCCTTTCTCTAATCAAAGTAAGTTGTAAAGTAATTTTTGTGCTTAAATTTCTTTTTTGTTTAAGCATTTTGTACCTTAAAGTTTAAGCTATTAAAGCTTTAAAAAAATATTATATTCTAAAATTTCATAAAGTGTCATAACAAATTTTCTAACTTAATTTGGGGACTTGATTGTTGTCGCATAGTAATATCTCTCTAGGAATATTTGTGTTGGATAAATAAACCCCGCATTTCTTTCCAGTTTAATTGATTTTTTGTTTTTTAGGGTTTTGAACGAGCAGAAGGTGGTGGAATTGAGCTAATTTCCCATGTAATTCAGAAGTTGCTTAGAATACCAGTCAGTGTTCTCATGGGTGCAAATATTGCACAAGAAGTAGCAGCAGAAAAGTTCTGTGAGACCACAATAGGTATGTGGACTGAAATCACTTAACAAATAACCAATATCGAATATTATTTGGTATGGATTGGCAGATATTTGCTGAGTAGTGTTGATGTTTTCACTTGCAATTCTGTTTCACATTTAAACAATAATCTCTGCGTATTGTATTTAATTAAGACAGTATTTGTTTTTGTGACTCTTCATTTTTATTATAATGTTTTTATGTAGGTTTAGTAGTTTTGTATTGTTAAATAGTAATTTTTTCCTGTTTGACATGTGTATGTCAGGTTGTAAAGACAAGGAGATGGCCCCTGTTTTCCAAGATCTTATCCAAACAGATAACTTCAGAGTTGTTGTAGTGGATGATGTTGATGCTGTAGAAGTGTGTGGTGCTTTGAAGGTAGACATATCACTTCTTTTTTCTTTTTTTAAAATATATTTTCACTGTATTTATCACTATGATATGATGTATTTATGTGTATGATGTATTTATGGTGTGTATGATGAATTTATGTGTATGATGAGAATGTTGTTAGTTCATTAAATTACTATCTGTGTAAACTAGTAGCAATGTTTAGAAGAATTTCATTGGATTGAAGGTATTTTCTTAGGTTTTCGTAAGATTTTATATCCCCTTGTTCATTAGTATTTTCAAACAGAACTTTCCAAAATATAGTATTTTATAGAATTCTTGATCTTGAATTTTTGTTTTTTTTGACCACAGTCCTGTTTTTGTAAAGTTTCTTGTCTTCACACTGAATTTTATTTAAAATATGTTGTAAATTACACAAAATATTCTAATGCAGAATGTTGTCGCTGTTGGTGCTGGAATCGTGGATGGTCTGGAGATGGGAGATAATACAAAGGCTGCTATCATTCGACTAGGTCTTATGGAAATGATCAAATTCATTGAAGTATTTTACCCTGGCTGCAAATTATCAACTTTCTTTGAGAGTTGCGGTGTAGCAGACCTTATCACTACGTGCTATGGAGGCAGGAATCGACGTGTTGCTGAAGCATTTGTGAAATCTTCAAAGGTTAGTGCACGTGTACATTCTGTATAACTTACTGTACATCCTCATTCTGTTTTTTATGTGATCAGTAAGAGTTTGGCCAAATGGTGATTTGCATCATCACTAAACGATGTATGTTGTATTTTCATGTCTTTATCTTTCATTTTTTAATTATTGTTGTTAAGCTAGTTAGCTGAACTGTTAAAAATGGGATATATTTCCACCCTACTCAAGGATTATTAATATATGTTAAAATAGTATCAAGAGACAAATTAAAATAACATTTTTTTAAAAAATTGTATTTGTGTTGCAGACTATTGATGAATTGGAAAAAGAACTTCTCAATGGACAGAAACTTCAGGGACCTATCACCGCTGATGAAATTAATTATATGTTGAAGCAAAGGAATATGGAAGAAAGGTTGGTGTGGATATTTTTTATTTTCATATTTGTGTATTGTTAATGCTAAGACTTGCAGTACAAGTACCCATTTACCAGTAGAGTTGGACTGTTTTGAAAGTGATCTGTAACATCAGAATTTGGTTTTAAAAAAATAGAAAATGTTGTTTGCCTTCGTTTCAAAATTACTAGTTTGATGTTTTATTGAATGCATTTAAAAAAAGATAACCGGCTTGAGTAGTTAATCTACTCATATCATTTTTGGTAAACATGTATTTTTTTGTGATACAAAAAAATATCTGCCGTACCTTATAAGAAAATGTAACGTTCACATGAAGGTAACTTCAGAGATCCAAGTTATCTGATTTTATTCATCAAGAAGGTAGGAATTTTTTTTCCTTTATGTCATGTCAAACTTGTATCTTACAATATTTATATCCAGGTGGCGTAAAACTCACTTTATTATTGCTATTATTATTATTTTATTATTATTATTGTTTTATTATTATTATTATTATTATTATTATTATTATTATTATTATTATTATTATTATTATTAAATATTTCCAGCACTGAATCAAGAAAAACAAAAATTTTTGTTATCTTCTAATGGCAAGATTAAAATGAATCACTATCAAAGTTGCAATTAAGAAAAAAACTTTTTGATTTGAATATATTTTAAAGCAACATTGCATGTGAATAAAAAATTGCTCTAATGGCAAAGTCTAAATAACAAATATGAAACTATTTAAAATGTGTGTGCGGAGTTCTTTGCTTTAACAAACTTGGTGATGCTACCTTCTCTGTGCTACTATAAGAGCATTCATTTTCTAAGATCTGCTGACAATTATGTACAGAAAAATGTCTTCACGTCAAAATGTTATTTTTCTTTCTGAAATGTCTCAGGCAGGGAATTGGAAGTTCGATACATTTTGTGAAATCACACCAAAGTACATATCACCCTCACATCGACCACATACTACTCCTAATGCATACTATGGTATTTGGTTTGGAGGTTTGAATGGAATACGGAAAGGAATGTATATTTGGTCTCCTTACTCAAAGGTGACCAGAATTCAGTTTTGAACTGTAATTAGATTCCTCAGAGCTTATTTCAAAATTTTATTTTGCATGTTTTTGCCTCTTGGAAGTATATTGCTTACACTTTTATATTATTCTGATTTATGTTTCATTAGGTGATCTGCATGTTTGAGAGTTGATGTTATTTCCTTTTCATGAATCTCTATTTCCATATAATGTGATTTCTCTTTAATTTTTGATTTTTTTCTTCTTTTATTTTCTTGAACACCATACATGCCTCCAAAAGCATTCTTTCACAAGTAAAACTGTTATTGGTAGAATTGGGTGATAACGACTCGCCACGTAAAATAAGGCATTAATTCAATAATTCAATTCAATAACATCAAGCCTTAAATCACAGTCCTGATCACCAGAACTTTATAGGAAGAGGATCCTGCTTGAATCGTGTATTCTTTGAACATCTGATTTCTTAGAAACAATTGTCTGGTTATAATCTCTATCACTTACCGTTTTTTCCATTAGTCTTGAAATCAGTTGGATGTTTACTACTGTTTGTTCTTCAACTCAAAACAAAATTTTATCTGCATTTTAACATTTTTTAAAAATGTTTTACTTCATATTTTAGAATTTTATATTGCATAAAAATCTGAACCAAAGATGTCAGACAAAGGCCTATTCAAGTAGTGTTCACTCTAAAGCTGTACACTCAATAAGTGCTTTATTATTTATATACTATAACATAGTGAGTAAAAGTATTGGATTCACCTCAACAATACAATCTCAAATTAATGGTTGTAAAATCCAGTTTAATGTTCTTTTGAGTTGTAATCTTGCACTTGTCGGATTATGGACTTTTAGTGCTGTTGAACAGGGGATGAGGAGATTCATGCAATTGTATACACAACAAAGTGGGATTTTTGGAAGAATGAATAAATGTTGGATTTACATCACACATAATTTTGCATGTTTGAAGCTTTTGGTAAACACATTATGTGCAAGATCAACTTGTGTCGTTTCAGGCATAATTAAAATATTTTAATTTTTGACATACTTCGAAATTTTAAAACCGGCAAATGGACTCAATGTTTTTTCTTTAAATTGTTTTGCTTGAATGGAGAAAAATGCTTTTATAAATATGGTATTGTTTTGATTTTCATTAAAACCTCTTGACATTTGGAAAATTGCAAGGTTTTGAACTTGTCATATAATTTCCAAATTAAAGCCAGAGATTTCTTATTCAATGCAGTTTCTCCCTTGATTGTAGATCTTTAAATATTGCCTTACCCTTTGTTTTAAGATTTGAGAATTTGTGGAGTAAAAACACTGAAAGGAGTAAAAGTTTGGGTGTGCTGTGTATTCCCACTAGTTTTGATAAGCAATGTTTAGTCTGACCCCCCCCCCCCGTCACCTCCATTGATATTATAGCAAGTTTAAGAACCTCTCCAATCTGTCATATTATAATTTTTTGTTAGTTTCTTTCTTTTCAGACTTTATCAATGAGAATTACTTTATGGATTTAATAATTATTTAATAATTTAATACTAGTATAATCTGGCTTACATCAGAAATGCCTCAATGAAAAAGTAATGGTAAACTAATGTGTACTTAATGTGTGTGTTATATGATTAGCGAGATAAAGTTTACTTATAATGTGTTGAATAATTTTATTATGTTAAAGTTAACATTTTTATTGGAATTGTGTTGCTTGTTTTAAAATTAAAGCATTGAGGAGAAGAGACATGAATATTTCTCGAACATATAAATAAGACTGAAGTACGTAGAAGTTATTACATGTACTGTAGAGCATGTGTTTAGCATGCTAAATATGCACTAAATATATTTTATTCCTCACATATTATATTCACATGCTGTATTTGCTAATACAAAAAGAAACCAAAAAATTTAAAACGAGTTTTCAAACAATTAATCTAATGAAAATTTGTTTTTAACTTGTCAGTGATGCTCCTAAGGTTTTGAGATACTTTCTAAACAATACTGTTTAATTTAGTGTGTCAACAAGTTATGATTGTTATCATAATAGTTATAACAATTTATTAATGTTACAATCATTCAACTTCATTTAAAATTTTGAATATGAATTGATTGACAGTTGTTAATTTTGTTTTGCAGGTTCCCCCTTATGACTGCAGTGCACAAAATCTGTAAAGGTGAGATGAAGCCTATTCAGTTGGTGGATGCAATGCGATCTCATCCAGAACACATGTAAGTGGATCCAACACCATGACCACATGCTGTCGACTTGCGATCCATCGTAGTAGTAGAAGAAACAGAAAGTTGTTACCTTGCATTACCTGGATGAAAAGTTTTGCTGTCCATTTTTTGTATTTCTGTAGTGGGTGGAAGTTTGTGTCTGTGTGTGTTTGGATGTGTGTGCATGCTGTGCCATTCTGAAAAGTACCTGCACTTCTAAATTACTTTTATTACATTGTAGTTTTGTGGATGTGAAATGTAAAATTTGACACTATTGTAATTATTACATAGAAATTATTGTTGGTTTTATTGTAGAGCATGTATGTATGTAAATATTTTACATGTATTAATTTGCAGAGCTTTATATTGTTTTAAAATAATATTTTTCTGTTTTATAATATTTCTGTTTTTTCTAAACACACTGTGTGTAGTTTTAATCCTTACCTAAAAATGTTCCTCAATATTCAGATTATGCTTCCAGCTTGTTTCAGCTATTCTGTAAAACAATATATGAAGGGCACTCTAAAAGTTTCCAGAGTGAAACAAAAACAGTTGTTTTTCCATTTTGTGGCCAACTAGTCTTTAAAAAGAAATATTGCCAATATCAATATATCTGTATATCTATATCCATCAAAAGAACATTTTTCATGCAATGATTTTTTTTTTCAATTTTGAAGTTAGAAAGGGTGCTAACAAATTTCTTGAATGTTTGATGTTGCATTTTGAAATTCTTTCCCCTCACAATCAACTGTTGATGAATGATATTGAGAATCTCATCTGGCCTGAAATTTACTGAAGGCTGAGCCTTGGGACTCCTGTTGACAGCCACAAGAAAAGAATCTTGTTTATGCGAAAGATGTTGACCCTTGCTCTTATCAGCAGATAGAACAGGTCTTGAATTTGTATCCTGTGTGGTGCCACAAATGTTGAATGTGAACTTAATGTCAAAAAGGTCTAGTGGGTGTATTTCAGATCATTTGACGGAAACAAAAACATGGGTCATCTGAACTGGTGGGGGAAAGAAGGGAGGGGGGGAAATGCTGCAAAGATTTAAAGAAGGTTCTGGAAATCCATTTTTTTTGACATTGTAACTGGATGTGAATCGTGCACATACAATTTGACCTTGAAACAAAAAAAATCAATAGGCAATTGCATTCTGCATCTTCTTTGACAAGACTGCTGAAGAGATCTGAAGTGTTTGAAAGGAAATAGTTTCTTCATTCTTTTCAGCCAGTGGGCCAGTAGTTACTGATGTCCTGGCAGACGATAGAAACTGACAGCACACTGCGATACCAACCTGTTATCTCCCTAAAATCTTTGAGAGCATTCAGAAGAGAAGGCAGAAGAGAGGCTTGGGTCGTCATGACAATATTTGCTTCTTGCATTCACCCTACAGTCCAGATCTGGCCCCTTGTGATTTCTTTTTGTTTCCAAGAGCCAAAGAATCCTATCAGAGAATGCTGGATCAGACCTCTAGTCCATTCAACAGCAGCTATCAAAGAATTTTTAGCTGAGCTGTCGAAGGAGTAAAGGCATGCAGTCTTCCAGGACAGGTTTCAAAAAAAGAATTGCTGCATAGAGACAGAAAAAATGCTTACAGAAAATTTAGTGGCAAGATTAAATTTTCTCTTTTAAACATACAAATCTGGAAACTTTTGGATGATCCTTATGTGTATTCTAGAACTTAGAGCATCTCATCTCCACTGTATTGCAAACTTTTCACTTGCATTATTGAAGTAGCAGACCTATTTTCACATTTAATTTCTCACAATTTTTTTCTCATCAGTGATTTAGGCTTTTTTTCACAAATTGTATGCACTAAGGTATGTTTTTTCTCATAATTGTATTAAAGATGGTAAACTTTCTTTTGACCTCTTTTTTTTTTTTTTAATTTAGTTTTTTCCCTTTCTAAGATTTTCCAAAACTACCTTTGCTACAATGTTTCTTTCATTGCAGACGTCAAAATTTCTTCTGGATTGTTTTGCTGAGTTAATTTTTGTTAAAACCATTCAGTTATCTTGAACTGTTCTTCCAGTGACATACCTTTCCATCAAAGCTGACTATTGTGTCTCATTGTTCAGGCTATAGACGAATGAGATAATTTTCTCTCAGCATATAATAAGCAAATTGTAAATATATGCAATTCAGGAAGGTTAGAGCATATTGTGATTAACTTCAAATTTAAAGGTAAATTTCATTTAAAAAATCAAAACTCCTTTTTTTTCTCTTCCAAACAACAAAGCTAGCATTAAGAATTTTAACTTGTCTTGGTGTATGATCAAAAATAAATTTTTAATAATACCAAACTGAAGTGAATGATGCACCTATTGGAGTTGGTTTTAAGATCCCCAAATAAATTAGAATGTGAAAATGGAATGTGGACATAGGCTTTGGCTTTCCTGTCAAGATTGTTTTGGCCTTTCCTTATTGTATCAAAAACAAAAAGCAATATATCTGCTTGTGCATAGCCTCTTTTTATTGCCTTCTTAGAGGAATTCTACACCCTCTACTTGTGAATGGCATTTACTACTGGTTCATTGTCTCCTCAAGGTAACATTTTTTGTAATGTTTTAAAACTTTTATCGCTTTATGATGCATGGTTAGGCAGGATTCCTCTGAAACCTTGTTGGATGGTCAACATTGATTTAACAAAACATAAGCAGACTTAAGTCCAAAATCTCAGACAAAATTTATTGAAATAATTCATTAGATAAAAATCTCACAAATCAAATGCCTACTTGGAAGATTTTAAGAGATATTTCATATCTGGAACTCCTTGTTCTCAGCTGGGTGGAATATTTCCTTACTCTTAACAAACCAAGCAAATCGTCTGTAAGCATTCCTGATGATTCCAGGTGTATCTTCCCATCCTTACGAATGTATGAGGGTTGTCATACTCAGTTAATCCAAAAGGCCATAATTTAGATAAATAAAGTGCATTCAATTCACATAATATGTATCACTGTTAATCATTATGGGAACAATGAGTGTGAACAAACTTGTAGGTTACTCCTGATTGACCTTCCTGTTATTATCATCAATTACATTCCCATCATTGTTTAAATAATTTTTGGATAAGCACAAAAAAACGTGTTAATAGTATTTGGAAAGTTTGTGGCAATGCTTTTAGAAATTATTAATGAAATATTAAGTTCAGTCAAGAGTACTGCAAGAATATATTTTAAGAAAATTTAGAAGAAATAACACTAGATATTCCAGAGAATTAATATTCAAGCTTATTTAGATTCCTGGTTATAGAGATGACATATCTTAATAAGCTACATACAAGAACAGAAAATCGGTGCACACAATGTTTTAGAATACAATTTTGAAATATGTAAAGATAAGAAAGAACTGAGAGAAGCTTTGGCAAATTATTGTTAGCTTCAGATAAGTTTGGAATCGACTAATCAGTCTGTACAGGCGTTACATATGAGAGAAGTGTATCCGGTAATTTAGTATGGTTTATTTTAATAATGGAAGATGAAAATATACATTCTCTGAGCTGTAAAATATCAACAGTGGGATCAGGTCCTTTAGTACATGGGGAAAAATTTCTTTCACACAACAGTTATAATGAAGAGAAGTTTTCAGAAGCCATTTGAATGTTGATCTCAGATATATTATTTTGCAGTCATTTTTATTTGTGAATTTTTATTGCGTTACTGCCTTTCAAGAATATATATCAAAGAATTTTTGACAAAGATAATTCTTTAATGTTCTAATCATCATAATAGTAAACTAAAGCTCATTGATATTTTGCAAACTAATTATCTTTTTTATTAGAATTCTGTATGTGGTTTAAAGAAATCTCAGAAAAGTTGATGAACAAAATTTTGTATAAACACAGAACAAATCCAACTACTTTCTTGTAAAACAGAAAATGCTTATGATTGGATCCTTCATGAAAGGATGAAATCATTAAAAGGAGAAGTTTAAAAGTATGATAAAAATGCCTTTTTATATTCACTAACATTTTAAATAGAAGTAAGTATCTTGACTGTTTAATTTCAAAAGTTTTCAATTAATAGAAGAGTGATTTTGAAAAGATAAAATTTCTTCTCCAAAGCTGGCACTAGTATTCAAAACAAAGTGAAAAATAATAAGATTTGAGGACAACTTGAACAAATTAGAAAAGAGTCGGGAGAGAGATTTTGTGCGGTAGCAGTAGCTAGCTCATTTTTTATTATATTTAACTTTCCTGCTGTAAACCAAAGATATAAATAGGTATTAATATTTTTATATATATTTATATGTATGCTTCTTTTCATCATGCATGCAGAATGTCGATAAACAACAATTTTCAATTTTGTTGTTATTGTTGCTGTCTTAATCTCTAAATGTTTAAAATAAACATTTCTTTAAAATTTTGCCTCACCTCATAAATAAGCTTAATTTTTATATATTTTATTGGGTACTAAAATTTATTTACCGTAACAATTTTTTCATTATTTCAAAAATGTCAGCTGCGTCAAATTCAAACACTACTCGAAGGAAAATTCTAGGAGGCAGCTGAACTGGTCAGTAGTTTTCTGTGATATCTCTGATCAACTCCAGGCAAATGTTAAAGCAGTGCAAATGTTAAACCCTGAGTAATGGGCCACAAACCAACGTGACTTTTCCTTCCTCATCCTTGTCCCTTTCCTCTCCACTTAATTCGTGCTCTTCACTCCTATCAGGAACGGAAAGCTCATCTTGGCTGGGATGATGCCCTACTGTGGCAAACACCTGGAGAGAAACATCCTTGCAAGTTGTATGTAAATCGACACCATAACTTCAATTCTAATAGGGCAGGTACACCACAACATCCCAGGATATAATATGCACTACTTATGAAAGCACTGAACTGACACAAATACTTTTTCACTTACTCAAAAATGTTAATAAACATGTAAATGTGTATGGCCTTTACTTTTTACTATTTTCATGTCACTTTTTGTTTTTAATCAGCTTCCTTTCATAGCTATTTATTTAATTGATTTTTATTATGCCTAACAGCTTAGTTGTATATGCTGATTTGATGATTATTTCTTCTTCTTATGGTATCATATATTTAATTTGCTTACTGAAATATTTCTTCTTAAAAGTTTGTAATGGATTTGCTTTCAAGCAATGTGTGTTAATGTTATTTCTCAGTGGTGAGCGACGTAGTTGTGTAAGACTGGAGTAGTTGGGGAAGAATTTATTTGATCGATATATCTTCTTATCAGATCAATCTATATGGCATGCTCCATCGTGAAGGTCAATAATCCTTTCCACCTACTTTTATTGCACTGTGATAAGATGAAAAACATGTGAAAAAAATAAAATATTTATTCAGTGTTTTCCTTTAGAGAATGTTTGAAATTCACTTACTTGATGAGAAGTTGAGACCAAGAGACCACCGTTTTTATGTCAGACAATGAATATTAAAATTGTAACAGTATAGCAAAGATAGAGAGTTCATTGTTGTTTTTTATTTTGTTGTTCTTGATTGTTTGTGTGGCTATATTGTCTAGGATGAAAGGGTCTCCTCACAAACATAATCATGAATATAGGGATATGCTCTATTATTTATGTTAGTTTCATGAAATCTGAAGATATATATTGTAGAAAATATGTGATTATAATTATTGTGTGTTGATGTTGCAATAATCAGGATTAGAATCTAGTTCATGTTTCAGTGGAGCCATTTACTGTTTGTTTGTTCAGTTCCTTTCTTTGAGAGTTCTTTTAACATGAAGTGCCTGTTGAGTTTTGCCTTTTAAAACATTGTTTAAATCTTAAGTGCTGCAAACAATGATTTTGTATCTTTTAGATTCAAATGTCATCATTAGACAAACTGATTACTGATCGATTCCCTAAACATTTCACAGAGATTATAGGATATTTCCCCAATTTTCTTTGTCTCAGAAGTTTAACAACCTTCAGTCATTTTTTAAAAATAGAAATTTGAAAATTTGAACATTTTTAATAACATTAAAAGCTTTAGTGTCTTCTTGTATTTGATTTAATTTATAACCTTCTTTGATTTAAACATCATTCCACCTATTTAAATGTGTCTACATTCGTACTTAATGAATCTCTTTTGAGTTGTTTTGTGGTCTTCTTGATGTCTTAACGTGTAAATGGACAAGTGATGTTGCATTCTTTCATACCATTGCTTAAAAATTTCAGTTGATAATAATCTAAAATTGTAAAAGATTGATTTGCCAAAAGAGCTATGCATCAGATTTTAATCGTCTTCCATTTTAATTTTCATGTTAATTTTTATACTTAACTCGGGTTTGTTCTGTCTATAATAACAGTATTTCAATTCTCTTTGCATTGAAGGAAGATCAGAAGTGAATTTTAGCTTTTCTTACATAATTTTGACTTATCTGTTTTAATAAAAAATATTTTAACTTATAACTAGTAATATCAATTGAGGCCGAAATTATAAAATTATTTCATATCTAATACTTCTTGATAATTCGAAAACAGAAAATATTGTAAATTTTGTACTTTACAGTTTAATTCTTGATCAGCATATAAAGTAATAAATATTTGATTTATTTTTTTACCAGAAACTGAAATGATGTTACGGTGGAGCTCGTGTTTACTTTGTCATGTCTTTTATTTGTTCTTTGTACATCAGTGTTTCTTGTAAATTACAGTAGATTTAATTAGTATTTTAATTATTTTGGTGATGGCAATGTGAATACAATAGATCATTTCATGTATAACTGTAAGGTTTTCCTTGTTTTCTTTCCTGAATTGTAGGGTCACCTCAAAAGGATCTGTTCACATTCGAAGTTCCCTCTAACACTATACAACATGATGACAACTGTGTATGAATGGACATGCGTTTGACTGTACATCAGGGTCTTTTAATATTGATGAAGAAACATTTTATATGAGAAATTACCAAGGCTATTAATAAATTTGATTGTTGTTGGT